CCACGTGGGTACACGCTATTCCCGCCATCTCTCCACTCCTAGTGCGTGAGTAGGCATTCTCGTAATAGAATAGCCAAGTTAAGGTTTACCGAAGTATGTGGTTAGTACTACAAAGTCTCACCTCATGCAATTCAACAACGGACGGACCTTAATCGACACAGGCGGAAAGAACCCGCTCACAAGACCTCCATGTCTTGTGGCTCTCACACACCGAGTCCGTCCGGTCTAGATTTATTACTCCACAAGCTCATATCTCATGATAACATAAGTAACCAAACATAACCAAAGATCCATTTAACTCTCACAGGTGACATGTAATCACCCAACTTTTATCTGTCTAAGCATAGCTAAGCATAATTAGATATTTACGAATCAAAACTGGTAACAAGGTAGATATGGAAAAACAAGGTTGGTAATGCACCAATTAGGTTTCCACTTGACTCCTAATCACTTAATGCAGTATATAAAAGCAAAAACGATATAAATTTGTAAAACACAAGGTAGGTTTAAATGCATCCGGGGCTTGCCTTGGTTGTCGGAAAAGTCTGGTTCCGGAGTCGTCCCACTGATATCAAACCCGACCTCAACAGACGGATTAACCTCCTCAACCACTTGATTGACTACCACGTGCTCACTCTCACTCACTACACGAAGTAACAATGCCATGTTTAATATGATACGAGATATAAAACATAATGCGTGACGATGGATGCAAAAGTTAAAAACTTGAATACAACTTTCCTTCGCGGTACAGTTACAAGTTAAAACTAGCTAAACCTTTTTATAAACCCAAACATTTACATTAAGTGCCAAGGATCATTATAAACTAATGACCCAAGGTCATCACTCAATCCAAAATTCAAACAAAACCTAAATCATTAAAGGTTACTATTTGCTTTTATGAATTAATTATTTAATTAAAATTTATGAAATAAATCAACCTGTTCCAATTGAGGTTAAAATTTTTGTAAAGGTTCACCCATGATAACTAAGTGGCAAAACAATTTTCATAATTTTTGGATAATTATTTAAGCCTAGAAAAATCATGGAAACTCATTTATTAATTAATTGAGCAATTTTTATCACATTGAAAAAGTACTGAAAAGCGACAGTTCATATTTTTCCTAAATATTATACATCATAGAGAGGTCACACAAAAACTTTCATAATTTTTGGAGCTATAATTAATTCTATACAAAAATAACAAAAACATACACTATTCATCCATTTCTGAAAAAATAGAAAATCCATTTTCAAATCAAACCGCCACTGATAGGGTGACCCCACCCATCAGTCCTGTTCCCCGCGCTGACCACGGCGACTACGCGCGCTGACCGGCGATTTCTCGCCGCCGGTGAGATCAACGGCGACGGCGAAGGCACCAACATGTTCACCACGACTAGGCGCACCTACTGATGTCACTACTTACACCGATCGCTGTACAATCCGAGCTCGACACCGGCCATGGCGGACACGGCGGTGCGGCTGCGCTACGCCGGCGAAACGGGACCGGTAGCGGTTAAACAAATTGCCCAGGAAGACTTAGGAGCTCACCCCGAACACACTAGAGTCGAAGGCCGAGCCGGAGGATCAACGGAGACGCTGGTCGTCGGTCATAGCAGCCACGGCGGCGCAAGCGACGTTGATGGCGGTGTTCCGGTGACTGTGGTGGACGAAATGATCAAGCAACAAGGCATAAAGCACCACGGCATCATGGCAAAGCTGAAACAAGACTTCGTAAGAGTAGCGGCTCACCGTAGAGCGACGGCCATGGTGAAGCGCACGCGGCTGTAATGCTGTCGGCCACGAGGAAGAAAGGCAACGAGCGGCGTTCCTCGACGAAATCAGGCACCAAGGCTCGGTGAACTGGGTTTGCAAGGAGTAGGCGGAGCTGGGACAGGATTTGCTGAGACGGTAAAGGCACTACGGCGACGGCGCAAGCACGACGGAGCAGCGACGGTGGCGACTAGAAAAACAGAGGAGAAAGAAGAGAATGGCGACTGTGTCGGGGCTTAAAACGCGACCAGGAAGCAAAGAGAAGCCACGCAGGGGCCTTCTCCACGCCAGCGCGGAGCCGAAGGTGGCCACAGCGGCGACCAGAATGCAATAGAAGCTCACCGTCGGTGAGTTGGCTTCCGCGGTCACTTGTTCACCATATTTACAGAATTGCCACTCGATTTAAATTCCAAATTACTCCCAAATTTATGTGGCAACTCAAAAATCTCCAAAAATAAAGTTGTTCAAAATTCAAAGTTCTACAACTTTGCTTTTATAACTATACCCAAATTCGGTCTACATTTTGAATTGAAAGTTTGAATTCAAAAGGGGACACTTTGAGAATTTACGCCTTTTCAAATTACTTCAAATTTTATAAAACAACTTTGAAAACTCCAAAAATCAATTTTGTACATCATGACAAGCTCTACACTTTTGCTTTTAGGCTCGACCCCAAAATTTACTTATATTTTAAAATGGGCTTTCCAGGGTAGAATTAAACGTTGAAATTAGGGTTTTCGGAAATTCAAATTAAAACCAAGATTTCAAACTTGATTCAAACCATACAAATCAACACATACAACATAAAGGTAAACTTGTTTTAGTGTATGTATATCAAAATTTTCACTAAGACCAAATGATTTGCAATGCATATGATGACATAGCAGGTTTTAGTATTTAAAACACCCGAGGTGTTACACTCGGGGATCTCGTCGCAGCTGAAGCCGAAGCCTAGGTCAACGCATCCCTTGAGCTCCTCCAAGTCATCGTCCGTGAGGCTCCTGGACCTCCCCACCACGTCGTCTCCACCCGCGAGCACGACGGGTTTCGGGTCCCGCCGCCCTGGCCACGCCGCCTCCCATTGCGCCCCGCGCCACACGTACTCCGCCTCGGGCTCGTCGACCGACTCGACGGCCACGGCCACGGCGCTGCGTCAGGGTGGTGGGTGGCAACGGCGGCCGGCCAGCGTAGGTGCCAGGACGCCAAGGTGGCGGCGGTGGGCGCCTGGCCCGTGCGCCGGGGTGTCGGCGATGGATTTTCGGCGCCCAGGCGATGGGGTGTCGGGGGAAGTCGGGCGGGCGGTGACAGCGGCGGGCGTCACGTAGACGGGTGGGCGGCGGCGGTGGAGGCGGCGTGTGGGTGGGGAGCGGGAGTGAGGTTTCCATGCCGGGGTGACTTCGGGTTTAGAACTGACGGGTGGGCGGCGACGGTGCTGCTGTGCTCCGCCATGGTGGTCCGCTGTGAGGCCCATCGCAGCGCGCCTCCACGAGTGTTGAGCAAGATCCGAGTGTGAGAGGGAAGGAGAGAGAGAGGGAGAGGGAGGGGCGGCGTGGGGTGAAGCAGAGGGCGTGCGGTGGAGGTGGAGGTGGAGGACGGCGCGAGGGGAAGAGGCGGATGATGATGCGAGGGATCAGATCGATCGCGAGAGAAGGAGAGAGAGGGAGAGGGAGGGGCGGCGTGGAGAGGGATCGCACGGGGAAGTCGCGGTGGCTGGAAGGAAGTCGCGGTCGCAGGGGGTGAAGAGGCAGACTAAAACAAATGTCGTACAAAAGGTGTCTAACAATTTGTTCTTTTGAGCTGTATAGGAGATTAGCCATCGGTGGCGTCGAATTTTCTTTTGCACGGACCACATCAGCGCGCGACGAATAAATGCACATCTACCGTTTCTCAGTGTTGCCGTATCGATCGGCCCACGTGGACGCCCGGGCCGGGCCCAGACGACGATCCCCGCGAAAGCTACGTGACCGGGCGAGACGAACGAGGTCCGATGAAGGCAGCAGGGCAGAGCGTCCCTGCACCTGCATGCACCGCCGTTCCAATGCGAGGCCGAGGCCGAGGCCTGGTGGACGAATCGTCGAATGTCTCTGCGTGCGACTCGCACATCACATGGAGGGATTATCGACCGGGAAGGGAAACCCGACTCGCCTCTGCTTCCCATCCACGTTGGGGATCGTCGTACCTCCATCCTGAAATACAGTGGACTGTGGCTTCTAAAATCTATACTAAAATATAGTATACTCTACAGGTGTCAATGTTTAGATTTGGTAAAATTTATTAGAAAGGAAACCATAATTTGAGGAGAAGCACCTTAATTGATATTAATCTATGGACATATGCATTATTTGAGAATTCTTTTAAGTCGTCCTAAAATTTTTGGAATGCACTATATTATACAGAGGGGGTAGGATTCAGAACGAAACGCACATACGCCTATGTTACTACTCCCTCTGTCCCAAATTATCTATCGTTTTTTATTTTCGTACCGCAAGTTTGACTCGATTTATAGAAAATGCGTGCAATATTTGTATCTCCAAATAAATTTATTAAAAAATTAGATTCAAATATCTTTCCAAATATACCAATTATGTACCATAAATATTAATATTTTAATATATATTTTGTCAAGGTTATTTCTTAGAAAATAAAAATGACACATATTTTGAGACGGAGGGAGTACGTCGAAGTCCAAAGAGGAGATCAAGTTAGCATCGTTAGAAATCCGGAAAACACCAAGACTATATGGGTTTCTGCCGTGAGAGAATTCCTTATTTGACACCAGATAAATGACCCGTTCCTTTCTTGACCCTCAAAAAATTATTGTTCCCTATTTGACACCGAGTTCAACTTTCATTCCTTACATGACACTCCGTTGCATTTTCCATCCAGCCACCGTTAACTGCGCTGTAAAAAGACGATTTTGCCCCTATGGGCCCCACCACCCTTCTCCCTCCTCTCCTCCTCCAGGCCGCCGCGTCCTCCCCCAGCCCCGCGGCCACCGCCTCACAGACGTCTGCTGCTGGCAAGCCACACCGAGGAGAAGGCCGCTGTCGTCCCCTTGGCCAGCGGCCGGAGCCCCCTCCTCCTTTCGACGAAAGCGCCACCTCCTCCTCCCGCTACTCCGGCGAAGAGGAGTGGTACTGGAGGCGCTTGTTGGGCGACATGGGCTTCCGCGCGCGCTGCTGCCGTCGGCCTCTGCTCCCATGGCCGACGCCATGGCAACAACCATGGCGAGGAGGCTGGACGTGGCCGCGGCCGAACTGTGCACGTGGCTCGACGGGTTTGCCGAAGCCTCCGTCGTGTACGTCTGCTTCGGGAGCATGGTGGTGCTGCTGGAGCCTCACGCGGCAGCAATGGCCGCCGCGCTGGAGCGGACGTGGGTGGCCTTCGTGTGGGCGGCCGGCCCCGCGGCGTCGCTTCCGGCGGGGTTCGAGGAGCGCATGGAGGCCTTCGTGTGGGTGGCCTTCGTGTGGGCGGGCGGCAGGGGCACGGTGGTCCGCGGGTGGGTGCCGCAGGGAGGGGGCTCGCCGGCAGAGGGAGCGAGGGGAGGGCGTCGCGGGTCATCGGAGTAGGCAGGAGGAGGGTGGCACGACTCGTCGGAGGAGGGAGGGGGCTCCGGCCGCAGCGGCGGGGACGGCCGGCGGCCTTCTCCTCAGGTGGCACGGCCGCGGGCTGGGGGAGGACACGGCGGGCTGGAGGAAGAGAGGAGGGAGAAGGGTGGTGGGGCCCACAGGGGCAAAATCGTCTTTTCACAGCGCAGTTAACGGTGGCCGGATGAAAAATGCAACGGAGTGTCATGTAAGGAATAAAAGTTGAACTCAGTGTCAAATAGGGAACTAAATTTTTTTGAGGACTAAGAAAGGAACGGATCATCTGTCTGGTGTCAAATAAGGAATTCTCTCCTCCCATGGGTTTGCGCCTGTTGAGGAACTTCATGCGCCGTTATTCCGGCCCAACGTCCAGACTCCAGCGGCCCAGGCACTTGTCCTTTCACATCGTTTCTCCCATGGGTTTGCAAGCCATCTCTTCAATGCCACAGGCCCATAGCACATGCAGGTCCTCAACAGGAAGTACCCGTCACTGACGGCCACCTCCTCCGCCACCTTCTGTCCAAGATTCATGGCGTTGCCTGCTTTGGAGAGTCAGATTCCGTCCTCCTCCAGTGAATCATTGAGGCGAATCAGGCAGAACGCTAGCGTGGCCATACTGTTTCTCACTGAGGTGCGCATCCGTTCTCGGGGAGGAGGTTATGTACCATGCACATGCTCACTCTGATTACGTCTCGTCGTTTAGTGTATATACGCCGACTGCGACCGGGACCATGTCATGGTGTTTCTGAGGAACCAGAGACTTCATGGACCATTTGTTTAACTGCCCGGCAGGCTATCTCCGGATGCTATTTCATTTCACCTAAAGGGCCCGATACATATGGAGCGATACGAGGTGCTTGGGGTCAATTCCAAAGGAATCTTTCTCCTATAATTAAACTAAATTAGGTAGCATGTCCGTGCATGGCTACGAACAGCTAAATTTTTATACTAAAAATACACGGATTACACGATAAGATAACAATACTGTAAAAATAAATATCGATATTAAAGTGATATTTAATCTAAAAAAGTAAAGTTCGTAAAAATAACAGTCACGGAGAGCGTGGCGTCATAGACACACAAACTCTACTGTATAGATACTTCCGTGATGCGACTAAGATAATATTTTATATCGGTAGGAAGAAATCTCTTATATTCATTTCTTTCATACGCCAATAATTTCACGAATAAGTTCCGCCACATGTCCATACCATCATGTACACTATTAGTGTTTGTCACATGGATAATACCACGTGTCTTAAAAATATCTCACAAAATCTTAAAACAAAATATATTATACTCATCATATAAATATGTGTGGCTTTAGATCTATTTCACGCGTACTTCATGGACCATTTGTTTAGCTACCCGGCAGGCTATCTCCGGATGCTATTTCATTTCACCTAAAGGGCCCGATGCATATGGACCGATACGAGGTGCTTGGGGTCAATTCCAAAGGAATCTTTCTCCTATATATAATCAAACTAAATAATAAACCTGATCGTACATCTTTGTTTTAATATGTTTTGGCAGGACATGTACTGTTCTAACTCGTCCAGGCATACGTTATGAGTGGACGGTAAACCAATTAGAACTTTAATCTCTAATATATCATGTACTACTACTGTCAGTAAAACCGGCTATAATTCATATGCTCCAAAGAGTGAAGAGACACGTACTGCTTTAGTAAAACCGGGTAGGCTCTTATGCTTTTGGAGGGTAGAGAGATACACAGGCAGGGAGTGCAATGGACCAAAATTTGGACAAAAAAATCGTTCTTTAATATTAGGCTAGCAACCGGTCCTCCAAGACCTTTGCATCATTTTTTAGTTCACCGCTCAATCAAGACGTGCTCTTGATCATAACTAGGTCGTGGTGGCGACTCAGCGAACCCCACCCCCACCCCCTCCTGCTAGCTTGTCGGCAATCAAGCTGGTTGATGGTGATCCACCGGCAACTACTGGGCGGCCATGGGATCCTCTTTGGATCTAGCCTCTTGCCTGGATTTTAATCCGGGATTAGAGTTTCAGAACAAGTTTCGTTAGTGCTTCAAGTCGCTGGTACATCATCCAAACCCCTCCCTTGATGGTTCTTTCTTCCTCCTTGCAACTTTTCGGCGTACCTTTTCCGCTTGACGAGACGACTCGGTTTCCCTCTCTCTGCAATCTTGTTTGGGCGGTCGTGCCTTGGATTTTCATATGAAATTCTTAAGCAACAATCACTTTCACTTCCCGGTTTTCTCCAAGCAAGTGGGTTTCCAGATTTACATGTTCCGTCGTGTAATCATTTCCTGCTTCAATGTGTATTTTCATCTCTGGAACAATGCTACTCCCCACTAGGAGCGGAAAAAGTGTGCTTGGGAGATTGAACAAGAGAAAGAATGGACTACCGTTCTCTTCAAATCATCCAAGTGAGCAGCCAAAAAGCGAGACAATTCTCAAAAGCATGTTCGTTCCGCCAAGAAAATTTTTCATTATCCACCAAAAGTCAGGTTTCAACCGCTGATTTTCCTATCTTTTGGCGCGTTCACCGGCCAAATTGATCCTTTAGCTAGTTTTAGAGGTCGTTGGATCTTTTTATTCTCATCCTTCTTCCTACTCTCCGGCGAGATCCCGTCTATTATGGGCCGCCGATCATCAAGACGATCATCACTGTGGGTTCCCCTTATTAGAGCCTTTCTCCAAATTCAAATTCAAACCCTTCGGACCAGGCCACGACGTGTTCTGTTGTTTTTTATCGGGCCATAGTCGCACATCCAACATATCCAAAGTGCAGTGTGCCCAAATGTTGCATCACTAAAGCCCAACCCAAGTGTCGGGGACCAATACTAGGGTAACCGAAGAGGAGGAGCTAATGGTCATCATCATTAATTCAACCGAGCAGTCAAGAGCGCACCTACAGCTCCAACTGACCCCTAGGTGCGCGGGCTCCGCCTCGCCCGACCTCCGGGGGCGGGCTCTGCCTCGCTCGCCCCGAGGCCACGATCTGCGCCTCGTCCAACCTCTAGGGGCGGGCCCCACCTCGCCTGACCCCGAGGCCACGATCTCCGCCTTGCCCGACCCTAAGGCCACGATCTCCGCCTCATCCGACCTCTCGGGGCGGGCTCTGCCTCACCCGACCCCGAGGCCACGGGCTCCACCTCGCCCGACCCTGAGGCCGCGATCTTCGCCGCGCCAGACCCCTTGGGTGCGGGCTCCGTCTCGCTCGACGGAGACCCATACCGTCGCCAACCACTCCAGGTCCAAGCGTATGGGCCTGCGTCAAAACTCTGACACCAAGGAAGAGACCGGCACGCCCCGATGTAACCCGTGGCCATGACGGGTCATACCTGAGGATTCACATCAAGAACAGCATCGGGCGTACCAGTGCTATTCTGCCTAACCCTCGTACGAACAATGACAGGCACGTTAGTTCACCACGACGTCCGCTAGGACGGAGTGGAGTGCCATGACCGACGGATGACGCCTGCGCATGGTGCCAGTGATGGATAGGACCACGACGTGGAGCCATCCCTATTGACATCTAAAGGGTCAGCGAGACCCGCATGAAGGAGAAGGACCCGGCGATCCTATGGGGCCTTCCTCTCTCTCTCTCTCTCGTTCTTCTCCTTTTCCTCCGCTATAACCCACGCTTTCCCTTGGCCTATAAAAGGGAAAGTAGGGCGCCTCATGAAGGGGACCCCCCAAATCGATTGACCCATCAGGATCTGATACAGATCCGCACAAGAGCACGACATGAATGCACAGCTGAGCAGCGATCGAGCTCTTAGTACCCACTCACTCCTTTCACCAGAGACTTGGAATCATTTCCCTCTCTCATCCGTTTGTAACCTCTACTACAAACTTTCGGTGCTAGTAACACGAGCAACAGCGATGAACTGGACGTAGGGACTTTCTGCCCAAACTAGTATAAACCTCATGTCCTCTAAGCATAACATACGAGCCAAACGCGCAATAATACAAATTTACTTGTCGGTGGTAACTCGAAACACCGACAGTTGGCGCGCCAGGTAGGGGCCTTTTGTGCGTCTCGACATCCACATCGGGCCTCGAATGGCTATTCATGGCGTCAGCTAGGTCCTGGGCGCGCACATGCGCTTCGGGAACCTGGACTTCATCGTCACAACGGAGGGAGGGTTGGTGCAGGATCCTGCCACCGTCCAACCTCTCCACTTCACCGGCCTCGACGCGATCGCCGAGGCACTTGAGGAGCTACAGTTGCATGCACCAGAGGCCCGCACCCCCGAGAGCGACTAGCTCCTCGGCTTCGATTATGGGAGGCTAGAGCGCCAGCTTGGTGCCTTCCTGGGACCCCGATCGTCCCGGGAGGACTTACGCCACCTCACCTTCTCGTTCACCAACATCATGACGTAGCTTGCCGGAGGAGAGCCGCTCTCCCTAGAATACCTCATCCGAAGCATCCTGACAGCGCTCCCGTTCGGTCTCCGTAACACCGCAGAGACCGTTGGCCACCCTATGGCGCAACGCATGCCTCCATCCCTCGCGAACGATGAGTTCGTGGGGATGACCGAATATGTTGCGGAATCTTTCCACGACCTCCTCGTAGGAGAATCGGGGTCCCCTTTGACTCTGACTTCAGCGGGGGGAGCCATCACCCTTCTCGTGAATGTTTTATGGTAGGTACCCCCGAGGGACACATCGAAAGCATCCATGAGGGAGAGGCTACCCCAACGAACGACCTCGACGACGAGGTCAAGATGGATGCAGGGGCCCCACCTCGCCTGTGAGTGGAGCAGTAGAAGGCTCGGCACCAAGAGCTCGAGGAAGCATGACTCTAGCTCGAGCAGGAATGCATGGAGCTTGAGCAAAAGATCGAGCGCCATGAAGACGGGGGGCGTGCACACGCCATGGCCCACGACGTGAACTGGAGGATCATCAAGGACGATGAAGCCCTCCCACACTTCACCCGGGTGAGCTAGAACATCGCTACTGTGGTGGCCTTGCTCAGAGGGCTTCCGGGGC